TGGCGGCAGTGACGGTGACGGTGACTATGGCAGTGGCTGTGGCGGCGGTGGCAGTGGCGGGGGCGGCGGCGGTGGCGGTGGTGGCGGTGGTGGCGGTGGTGGCAGTGGCGGTGGCGGTGGCGTGGCGGTGGCGGTGGCGGTGGCGGTGGCGGCGGTATGCGGCGGTGGTAGTGGTGGTTGCTGTTCTTTGTCAAGAGCTTCCCATTTCGCTGGGCCTGTTTCTTATCATTTCGATCTTGAGAGTAGAAATTTACTTTTTGTAAAGCTTTTGTCTCACGTGTGCGGGGGGGACCTTGATGGATCTGTGCCGCAGAGCCTTTCGAGCAAGGACTTTAGGCGGAGTGATACTCTGTGCCTAGCATGGGAACGTGTTGCAGCTATGAAAGGCCGCAGGGTCTACTTGGGGAGACGCCGAATGAGTTCGTCAGCGAGCTAGACAGGTCCACATATTCTATTTCTGGTTCGATACAAGAGCATGATATAACTCCAGATGCTGGCGCAGGTGGCGTGAAGCGAGCCTCATTGAAACAGGAGAAGAGTAACCCTACCTATCAGTCAGAAGAACAGATCAATTCGGTGGTTGTTTTTGCACAGCGAACCCTGGGGCTAGCCACATTATCCGATTGGCAGAAGGCATGGTGCACCCCCTCCCGAATATCTATTTTTTTGCGAGGCAGAAAAGGAGATGTCGAGGCGGCAGGCAAGCTTGTGGCGCAAGCGCTGCAGTGGCGTGATCAACATCAGGCTTTGTTGACTGGAAAATGTATTCCTAGATGGCAAGGTGACATGAGACTTCTATGTCAAGGGCACGCAGGTCATCCATTGTTATACGCGTCGCACAGGTTTCAAACGGAAAGCTACAACCCGCAAGATATGGTGGAGCATGCTGCTGTAGTTTTGGAGACGGCCGTGCGCATCATGCCTCCTAGTGTGCACCAGATTGATGCCGTTTTTGATCTTAAGCACTTCCAGATTCGCTACAATTTGGATCCACGCGGTGCCATTGCCGCTGCGGAGTTGCTGAAATATGCTTTTAGAGATGTGCTCCGCTGTATTTTGTGCCCCTCCCGCATTTGCACCATTTTGCACCTGTGCATTTTTTTGCGGATGCTATCTTCCCCAACATAAAGTATATAAGATCTTGTGCTCCTTTTGGGCATTTTGCTTTACAGGCATACATTCTTACTGAGTCTTACCTGGCTCAACCACCAAACAACCGCTGCTTAGTCTCTATCTGCATTTCACTCCAAGCTTGTGGCAAGATGTGCAAGTTCATGTGAGGATTGTGGATGCTCCCGCCGCCTTGAGTATGTTTTGGAGCTTGGTAAAGCCAACGCTTCCAGAAGGCACACGGCGCAAGGTTGCCTTCCTTTCCTCAGAGAAGGCGCTGGAGCTTCTAGGTACAAAGCCTGTAGCAAGGTTGCCGCTTCCAGCAATGTACGCGCACAGTGTGAGAAGTGATGTTTGCTTGCTCAAATCACAGCATTGATCCAAGGTTGGTTACACAACTGCAAGGATCCCAAGCAGCCTCTCATCTTGAGGAGGTCATGCGTGCCAACCGCCTTCCAGGTCCAGGTGCGGTTCCTTCCTTCCCATGCGAGCAAGCTTGCAAGGTGTAATTTAGTTCTTCAGGCCAGGAGGCTGGCCCTTTAAAACCACGTAGTTAGGACACGGCCGGAGTCCATTCAGGACAGAAGGCTCACGAATGTTGGCTAAGTCTTTCCTGTCAGATGGCCTTTGACTGACCAAGTCAATCATTTGCCAGATGCGTTGAACGTTTTCACGGGTTACCAAATCAAGTTGAAGTCAGAAACAAACAGCAGGCTCTTGGAGACTTGGCCAGCGGGGAATTTTGAAGCTGAAGCTGTTTGCTTGCAATCTGCAGGGCCCAAGCTGCAGAGGCTGAGGTAGAGTTTGCTTTACTCAGCATGAGCTGGGCACGGATCTGTGCCATTCCGCTGGACGTGTACACGAGCTACCTGGTGCTGGGGGTCATCATGTTCAGCGCGAAGCTGGGAGAGGACGCTGAACAGATCGGCCTTGGTTTTATAAGTCGATGGATGCCAGGTGGAGGGCATCCAAAAGGGCACTTAATCTGCAACTCCAGCCTAGGCGCAACCTCTCTGCTACACTGCATCTTGCCGTACTTTTTCTGGAACGTTCCGCTGGCGGCAACCTTCATCTTGCAGCATAGTGTTTTGAGGAAGGCACTGCAGCGCAGCTTCGGTTCGTGGGGGCGCCGCATCTATAGCTTCACAAGTGCAGTCGCGCTGCATCTCTTCATGAGGAATTACCAGGACTCTTTGAAGATGTTGTTGCTTCTTCACTCTTGTCAGGTGCTTTACTCCACGTCGCATCCTTCTAGCTTTCCTTCGTTGCAGCTGCTGTGGTTCCTTACGTCTTTTTCCTCAAGCCACAACATCCCAAAACCCACAAATGGAAGTCCAATGCCTGGAACCTTACACGCTTTCGACCCCTGGCCCTATACCCTAGAGCCTGAATCTACAAACCATTCATTTCTAGAGCCTACACCCCTGAGACAAACCTCGAGCACTCCCGAGTCTACAGCTCTGAAACATTGATACAGCTGAACACCTACAGGACCCTCAAACCCCTGAAAGAAGTGAACATTCCTATACCGCCTCGGTCCACGAAAAGAAAAGATGTTGGAATAGCAGCTAAACATTTCTCTTTTTGCAGTTTTTGTTCTGCTCCATTTGCCGGTGCTCATCTCCTGGCTGCAGCGCTGGTTCTGAGCAACTGACGAAGCAACTCACGGGATGCCTCTTTTCAGCTCGGGGTGCTCGTGCTCGCGGGCTGGGGCAGTCTTGTATTAGTTTCTCCGAAGAGTACTAAGCAAGGGTATCAGGCAGAGCAATTGATGTGTACCGACAGGATCACCCCACATCCCATCCGCAGTTTGTTCATCTCCATGCTTACCTCACTCAACTTCTATTCTCTCTCCAACCACACCTCCTCGCACGCTCTCCTAGAAGCTGGCACGATGCCCCAGCAAAGGCCCACGAGAGAGCGACCAGTTGCACATCTTCATTAAATCCAGGTGGGGGGTGGAATGTCCATTCCCGGAACATTAAACTTTCACTGACAGACTCGCACCGACGAGGAAAGTAAACGGATGTTCTTGGGTTTTCTCGGAAACACGGACTGTAGAATGCCGAGCAAAGAAAATTAAGCCTAACTTGCTCCCTTGCTCCTAAAAGTAGGAGTGCGGCTGCGAATCATGGGCGAGCTTAAGGAAGAACATACCCTTCTTTTGGTCGCTTACTCCTAGACTTACTCCCAGACATTTGGGAAATTGGGAAACTCGGGCTCGAGCCAGGACTTGCAGCTGAACAGTTTAAAGCATAACATAAGCAACAACATACGCGAAAACAACAAAGACCATAGTGGTTACTGCTTAGAAGAAGTCATGGTGGGAGTAGAATAACTCAAGCAATGTCAACCAGACCAAAAAATGTACAAATGATATTGCTGATGGGAAGGCGGGGGGGGGGGGGGGG